ACTAAGATTCAAAGTCCTTAAAATTCTTCAAACATCAGTCTTCAAGACTCCATCTTTTTGAAGAGCTTCATGGTCCATGACTTTGCTTATTGGTTGGTTTTCTACCTCTGCAGTGTTAGTCATTAGTGTCTGCTCAATTCTATCCATTGTAAGATTCTTGCCTTCATGTAATATAGTTTGAGAATGTATTTCCTGCCTCCCAGTCCCCTCCACAACCCCATATCTTGTTTAACGGAAAACTAAAGGTGTTTATTCTGGAAAATTTGAAAAATAGATATAAAAAACAAATAATGAAGAATTTAATAAGTTATGAAGAGTCTTTATTTAGTAACTGGTATTTAGGTTTTCAGAATCATGGGAAGGAGAAATTGTTGTTTGGTTGGCTTTTTTTTTACTCTTGGCTCTTTTAAAAATACATCTTTCTCCAATTGAATATCTTACTTGTGGCTTTGATAAACTCCTTCCACCTTTTAAACTCTTTCTCATCTCCATTTGATTTTCCCAGGTGGGGAACTCATAGCTAATAAGCAGTCCTCTGCAGTGAACGTAAGTCTAGATGGGGCTTAACTGCCTTCATAAGTTTTTTTTCTTTCACAAGCAAAAGATTATGAGAGACATTTTATTTAAACAACATCCTATTCAAACAAAATTATTTAAATAGTATTGTTACGTCTTCCACAAAAATTTAGACAAAATTGTTTACTACATCAATTTGCCACTGTGGTTTTGTTTTTACTTTTTAATTTTTTATGTAGATCCTCCTTCTCTAAATAATAATAATAATAAACCTCTTGAGTTTAGCTAAAGGAGTCTAAAGAGAACCACCAGTGAAATTTGGCTATGAACGTAAGTGGTTTGTCTCAACGATAGGAAAACTAAAGATCACAATCCACTCAGCTCAGTTTCGAGAGAACTCGTCTGTTCACTTTCTCAGCTGTTCTGTTCTTTGTTGTCCCCTTAAAATTTACCTTGTTTTCATACAGGATATTTCAAAGACATGTTTATAACATAGAAATGATTTGGGGTGATGATGTACTTGGAAAATGGTGAAGAAAAAAAAGAAGCTTTTTTTTTTTTTGCTTGTTTTAAAGCAGCAAAAATTCTCAGCGATTTTCAATGCTGTATCCCCTGAGAACCTAGGATGTATATGGTCCCAGAAGCAACACTCACAAATTTCTTTGACCTCTGATGCTCCTTCAGTGGAGAACATCTTTTAGGATTTAACACCCTGGGGAATACTGATTGAATATCTCTAGCTGTTTCAAAGCCTTATAGAAGAATTAAAGTTTAAAGACTTAAAAAAGTTTTGATTTTTAAAAAAATCTAAGCTATTATTTTACTTGACCTTAGAACTAGTAACTGCTTCAGAAGACATACTATTTCTGGTTGAGATCACATGGAATATTCTTTTGAAGAAACATTCTAGACCTTAAGTCAAATGATCAGATAGTTCATAATGTAAGAAAAATTAGACACTCCAAAATACCCAGATATGTATGTTGATGTCCATGGAGTTGGAAAGATCATTTTACAGTTCTCCAAATTCTGATATGATACATAAACATAATGTGGTAGATGCCTGCCCATCAACATTATTTAGGTGTAAAAAGGAAGAAATTCTGACTTGTGCTATAATATAGATGAAACATGAAGCTATTTTGTTAAGTCAAATAAGTAAGAAAAAAAGGAACAGATACAAAAAAAAGTTTTGTGGTTTCACATGTAACAAGTATTCAGAGCTATCAAAGACAGAAAGTGGAATGGTAGTTTCCAGGGTCTGAGGAAAATATCACACACACACACACACACACACACACACACACACACACACACACACACACACACACACAACTAAACAACCAACCAACAAAACAATTAGGTAACATTTGCCAAAATGAGCAAGTCCTGGCAGCACGTGTTCAGGAATCAGACAAGACCAACCACATAGAGGGTAGTGCCTAATTTCTGAAAAACTAGTTCACTTTCCTGCATATCTGAAGCCAGCTTGGGAGGGCACACAGAGAGGCTGCTTGTGACAGAGGAAATATTCCTATAGAACTATTGCACTTCCAACTCACTAAATATTTGCACAAATTAGATCAACTTACATCTAAGCTCGAATTATCTTTAACTGAAAATTCAAACTACCCTACTACTACTTACAGGAAATGAGGTGAACATTGATAAAGTATGTTCTATTGGTATTGGATTCCTTTAACATAGAATATGTGCATGTTGGTCTCTTGTCACATGTCTAATAATTGGCTGGAATCTACTGGAGATTTATGATACACTTCCTGCTGTTTGTAATAGATGTTCCCAAATATAAGCTACAAGAAGAAATGAAAAGAAGAAACTACAGACTTAACTTTTTCCCTGACTCTTATTTCACCAAATCCAAAGTAAATGATAGATTTTTTTTCAAGAAAGAATAACATAGGAGAAATCACAGAAAAACTCATGGAAAAAGAACCAGGAATTGATATTAGACAAGTCTTGGGCTTGGTCTTGAGACCATTGATAATCCTGCCACAGAGACTCTTCCTGAGATAATTCCCATCAATAAGCGGAGGCAAATATCTGTCTGGACCAGTGGGGTCCCATGGAAGTAATAAGTGAAGTTTTCAATCTTCAAAAATGTTTGCACATCTCTTCCTTATAGATGAAAAAGCCTGGAACTTCTCATAAGTGGATATTTCCCTTGGGGTACTAATATACTCTCCCGGGTCAAGCTCAAGTTCTCCTTCTCACTCTGAAGCAGCATGCACAAAGAAGTCATGCTTTTATTCTACTCCAAGTCTTACCTTGAAAATACTGTGGTTTAAGACTATATTGAATGATCATTTTTCTGAGGGGGGGGAGGAAGGGAGGGACTAAGGCAAATTTTAGATAAAGTAAAAGACAATCGTAAATGTTGACAAATAGGCCAGGGGAGTTTCATGATAAAGTTATCGGACTGGTTGGCTTTTCCTTGGTGTGAAAGACGAAATACACAAGAATAATCACCGTAGGACTCTGTAAGAAACACTTCAAAAGCAGGTGAATATTGACTCTTAGTCTTAAGCTTATAAATACTTAATAAGGCAATTGTAGTTTAAAGATATAGGCATTACTTCTTTTTCTGACACAGTGGTATTCAGAAACTCATATTTAGCATCCTATAAAAAGAGCCTTCAGACCTTTAGAAAAATCACTCAAATTTCATCTAATTCTAAAGCCTTTATGACCATCCAGCCCTCATCATTTACTGCCTTCTCTGAACTCCAAGACTATTTATTACCTGTAGTATTCACTCAGCATGAGGTGTTAGGGAGCAAGCATAGCCCAATAGATAATAAAATCCTCTAGGGTAAGGATCACATTAAATTCCTCTTATTATCCTCCGTACCTATCCTGGATCCTGATCCACACACCATAAATGTTCAATAAATGTTTGTTGTTAATGATGATAGGTTGTAGACTGGCCTGAAACATAATCTGGATAAACACAATACAGGAAAAGTGCAAATCATCATGTAACAAACATGCAAGCCAAGAAATCAATGAGAGCTGTCTGAACACCAAGTAAAAGACAAAGTAATACCTGCTCTCTGCCCAATATCCAACATGGTGATGGATTATGCTACATAAAATTATCAATAAGGACCAATGTAGTCACAATGATTTCCAAGTGGTAGCAAGAAATATTAGATACAGAATATAACACTCCAACAAAAGCTACAGACATGAGAGGTCAGACTCAGAGGAGCAGATATATTCTACTGGTGAAGAATCTTATTGCAAATCATTTACTTCCAGAGTAATGGAAGCATGGCACTTTCAAAACCTCTTTCAGTGTCTCCCCTGCCAAGAGTCTCACGTTCTGATTTCCAACAATGAAATGGAATGCCCAATACTTGCCCTTCAAACAAAGGAATAGGAGGGCTTACTTGTTTTGACTCTTGCCAAAACAAACACAATGCTTTTAAGTGAGTAACATTTATAATATGAGTCAGGTTGAGCAAATTCACACACTTCTAATCTATGTGCATCTAAAGAGGGCAGCACACTCTATTTCTGGTCTAAATGCCTATCTTCTTCCACAAGGTTTGGCTTAAATTAGAAATAAAAAAGTTGGTCTCAAATCCAATTTAGTGATCAACCCTGTCTTCTCCTTTTCTCTCATTTATCCTTTCTCTATCTGTATCCTAACCTCTTTCTTAATATGTAGGAGACTCCTAGGTAGAAAGCTCTGATCATTTTTATTAAAGGTACAGATAGCATAATTATCACCAGTATAGGAATGACTCATGTGAAACAATAAAGCAATTGATCAGATCAATGGTAGTGTCCTTGGTGCTGGAGGATGTCTGGAGTAAGGGATGAAAGAGTGGGGGGTGCAGACTGACTTTCCCCCCTTACTTAGCATATGCCCTTTTGTTATGTGAGAAACCTGAACAGGATAAGTAATTTATCTTGTCATTACTTTGGAACAGTGATAATCATGTAACTGTTTTTCAATAACATTTTATTAACTCTTTGGCCTAATTAACCAATAACAAGATATGTATTAGTATATGTATTCTACACCTTATCTATATGACATTTCAATCACTTTCAAAGTTTTAAATGGAATAAGAAATGTGCATAATAAATTATCAATATAGACACAACTCTAAGGACCTGGTTTTCTTCTATTAATCCTTTTGATGCATAAAATCTACTACCCAAAGGAAACAAAGATTGTATTTCACGGGTTAATCAGTTAATACCAATGACAATTTCTACAACTAACCTAGATTCCTTTATAGTTCGAGGAAGACCAATGCTGTATCCTTTCTTTGAAACAATTGGCCTATGGCATCTCTTTGTATGTCAAAATTCTCATGGAAAGAACAAATGTATTTTTACAGAGAAAAAGTATTCTGAAATGTAGAGAATATGAGAAGCTAACTTTACAGGATAAAAAGGTTTCCTTCTAGGCACTGAGAATATGGACTTAGCAATGATACTTTACTTACAGTCATTCAGGTCCTGTTGGCACAGTAGATTGAGGTCCTTCAAGCCTTTTCCTTGTTCTGGAGGTGGGAATATTCCAGTGGGATGTACTCACATCCAGAAACAGTCAGGGAGAAAACTGGAAAGACTCTAAAGAGAGATACAGAGCAATTAATTCAGGGTGGCCATTTTGGATGATGATGGAGGCAGCCTCAAAATGATTAGCAGGGAAGAGGTGACACTGTTCAAAGAGAAATGTACTCATTGCCAGACTTATGTCACTATAACCCTTCTGTCACATTTACAATAAAAATAACTTGAATAAGATGGAAATGATTAGCAGAACAAAGGCTAGAACTGGGATGGGGCTTTGTGTGGGGTGGAAAGTAGGCTTCCCCACTAGATGGCAGTAGGGCACATCTGTGGTATCTATGGGGTTTGTTACCAAGACAGAGCAAAGGGATGCAATGAGTTTCCATAACTCAGCAGGAAAAGATCATTATGGTGTATCACATAGATTAAAATGAATATATGTAAGCATGTCATACCCCTTAGGTTTGATGCTACCTCAAAGGTCAGGCATAAATGGGTGTTCTCATGAGCATGATTATGAGTAGGACATATGTGCGTATGACTACCACAAACACACATACATTTACACATACATTTACACACACATACAATTACACACACATACAATTACATAGATATGGGTCAATATTGGTATAGATATAGACTGGGAGCCATTATTATAATAAGTGGACATCATGATAGAGGAAAGAGATACGTTCTTGCTGGTAACTGTCACTATCCCATGTTTACCAAAGGGGAAATTTGATGGACTTCATAACAGGTGAAAGCCTTTATCTAAGGCCATACAGTGGAAAGTTACAGGTTCTGGATTAACCAGTGGAGTAACTTGTCCTTCTGAGCTTCAAGCCAATAATGTAGTCTTCAAAACCATAATATAGTCATGCTCACCTCACACAGACCTTGCTACAGTTTCTTGCAGTTTGAAAATAAACTCCAGAGAATAAGGTTTTTGGTAAGTTTGCACAAAAAAAAATGCTAACACATGCATTACACAAAGTGAAAATAGCATAGAAGCAAGTTTTATCTATATGGCTGTAATTATACATAATGTATAAATAAGTAAAATATTATACTGTCCTCCCCATTGTAACAAATTCAATGTATAATTCAATAAAAATGTCATTTAAAAGACTATGAAGCTTATTTTCAAGTTAATATATCAAATCCACATGCATACATAATTGAAGCCATTCACTGTATGCCTCAAAATACATTGCATTAAGGTAACACCATAGTGAATTTATGTCGCTTTTTTTTATTATGGTAGAAGAGGCATTTCTAGTGAGATGGATGAGTTCACCCAATGAACCAGACTCTGCAAACTTTGTAAGGAATCCATCTGCCGGCCTTCCCTCCCTCCCTCCCTCCCTCCTTCCCTTCCTCCCTCCCTCCCTTCTTTCCTTCCTTCTTCCTTCCTTCCTTCCTTCTTCCTTCCTTCTTTCTTTCTTTCCTTCCTCCTTTCTTGTCCTACCCTCATCTAGAAAATGTATTGCTCTATAAGTTGGACTTTCATGTGACAATACAAATGTAGCATATATAAAGCATTAGCACAATGTCTGGCCAATAGCAAATGCTAAATAAAAGTCACAAATGTCATTTATGATGACCAACAAAGATGGGTAATCACTTAGGATGACCCACAAAGAAGAAAAGAGAGGATAGAGAGAGAATGCTGAGAGAAGAGGATGAGAAGAGGGAAGATGGGAAGGAAAGATACAGAAGGGCAGGAAGACATCAAGGAGAGCAGGAGGTAGGTGGAATCACGGGAAGAATAAAGGAGCGATGGCATGACTTGCAGTTCTTCGCCTAGTGCCAACATTTCTCCTGGAAGGTCACAAACCCATCTTCAACCATACAGAGTTTTGAATACCTGCCCTGAACTTTGCAAATAACTCTACTCTTCATCTTAGACTTGTGTGTTTTCTCCTGCTTATCTGAAATTAGTTAGCTTTTCTGTAGACTAAACACTGTGGAAAACAGAACCCTTGCCAGAGATTGTGGGATTGAAAAGGAAGCAAAAGACAGGCAGCATACTATGTAGTTGTGCTACGGGCAATAGAAAAGATGCTGGTCATACTGTTTATAGATCTTTTGTTTTGGGTCACAAAACAAACTTAAAACTCCAAAAACAAATGGAAGATGGAAGTCAAAGAAAAAAATTAAAGCATTTTTCTCTAGCATTTCTTATGGGCATTGCCTGACAGCAGAGGTCATGGTCTATGCAGAGCTAGAAAAAAAATATTCTCTGTTCTTTTGAAAGTAACAATTTACTTACAAAATTTCCTAAGTAGATGTGTGTGTGTGTGTGTGTGTGTGTGTGTGTGTGTGTGTGTGTGTTTGCATGTGTCATTTCAGGCTTCAATCTTTTTTTCTTTTGTGTTGGAGAACATGGGAAATTAAAATGATAATAAAATGTGGCAGTAATAATAAAGTCTGTACTTACTGAGCACTTACCATATGCATGAGATGCTTTAAGTCAACACTACTTTATAAAGCGGATGTTAGACAAAAAATTTGGGACTTGGAGAATCTAAATAATTTCATTACTAGTAGATAGTAGAGCTAAAACTCAAACCAAGGGTTGGCTGAAGCCAGAGCTCTTTCTGGGGTCCACCATTCTATGCTCAGATATAACGTTCACAATGCCTATGTTAGGATCTAAACATACTAGGTATGTTATAATCTCACCTTTGCTTTTTTATTGTTATTACAAAAGTGATGTACAGAGGGGTTACAAAAAATTGTATCATTCATTTTCAACATAATGTCTATTGAGTACCACTGCTAAATTTGTTCGCCCTTTGCCCTTCCATTTCTGTGTCTTTCCTTACCATTCCAAAGATAGATAAATGAATAAACAAGACAAAAAGAAAAGGAAACAAAAACAAAAATGAAGGAAAAAAACTTCTTGTTTCCATTTCTTGGAGTTCATTTTGATCATAACCTTTGCTTTTTGCAAAACAGTACAGTACTGCCATTAGATTTTTTTTTTACATCTTTCAGGGAAAGATGTTCTATTTTCATCTGTACAAATTTTGGGAGAATGACATGTTATTGTTTGCCAAACTTTAAAATTCTTCCTCTAGTATCATTACCTGAGTGCACAAAATCCTGGGTAGGGGGTCAATGGGTGAGAGCTGTTTGAATGAATATTTAAGACACACACTGGGCCAGAAGACCTCTTACTCAATTGAGTATTATTTTTCCCATTCCATCCTTACACATTTATAATTATGTAATTAAAGGTCCTATATAAGGTGTAAAAAGTAGAGGAAAATTCTCGTTTGATAATCTCTCCAGCATATAATTTCCTGTTATAAAAGGACAGTAACAAATCGTATCAATACAACAGCATACAATTCAATACATAGTAGCCACTCACTTGCAGTGCCTGAGAGAAGACATGCCCAGAACTCTATAGCAGATGAATGAACAACCCCAAAATTTCCCCACAGTTTCTTTTAATCTTCTAAACCCCAAACTACATAGAAAGGTGAAGAAGAGAGGTCAATATGTCTACTATTTGCCATTACAACTAACTGAACTTGAATCTAGGTTGTTTATGTACTGCTCAGAAATAATCTTTGATTAAAGTCATGACTGTAAATTCTGAAAGGTGCGTGGCTGAGAGAAAAAGGGGTTAAAATACATAGGTAATGCAACATTTATCCTTTCAGAAACTGAAAATGTATAATTTGCACATTAAAATCTCACAGTCTATTATGTACTTTTTCTAAATAATAATTTATTGAAGATTTCATATTAGCTGGAAGAAAGGGGTTTGAATGCTCCCAACACACAAAAAAGAAGATAAATGTTTGTGATAATAGACTTTGTCATTATACATCGTATGCATGTATCAAAATACCACTGTACCCCATGACAATTGCTATATATCAATGAAAATTATTCTTTATTCCTTTCTTCAGCTATTCTTCCTTCCTTCCTTCCTTCCTTCCTTCCTTCCTTCCTTCCTTCCTTCCTTCCTTCCTTCCTTCCTTCCTTCCTTCCTTCCTTCCTTCCTTCCTGTCTTTCTGTCTTTCTTTTATTTTTGAGTTCATATACTTTTTTGTGCCAGTACTAGGGCTTGAACTCAGAGCCTGGGTGCTGTGCCTGGACTTTTTTGCTTGAGGCTAGTGCTCTACCACTTGAGCCATAACTCTACTTCTAGTTTTCTGGTGGTTAAATGGAGGTAAGTGTCTCATGAGCTTTCTTGCTTGGGCTGGCTTTCAGCTGAGATCCTCAGATCACAACCTCCTGAGTAGCTAAGCTTATAGTCATTATCACTGGCACTCAGGCACCATGAAGGATTTTTATTGTGATATTTCCATCTATGCTTATACCTACTTGGAATAAACTCAGGTGTCTGCCACATGCACTTCCCTCCCCATAACTTTTGTGTAGTTTGACTAACTCCTTAATTTTTGTTCTATTACTTTTTTAAACTTTTTCAAAACCTTTTAAAATCTAGAAACACTTATTCAAAATGCATTTGAAATCACACATCTCAAAATCATTTAGAAAAAAATTACAGGTTCTCCTTACTAACAATAATGGTAGAAATCATTATGATAATAATTTTCCTTCATGTGTAAGATTCATGCTATCGCACTTTGGAATACTACCAGATCCTTGTAACGGGTCTTCTCAATCCTCAACTTCCTATGCTGATCAACTTTTCGTATCTCTCCTGAATTTGCCTAACTCCACTCCTAGTTCTCTTCTACCTCTGCCGTTCATCCATCCATGACACTCATTCTTCTTAGCAGAAAATCCAATCTCTCTCCCCCACACTGCTATGTCTCTCTTCTTTATACACTTTATCTACTATTTCCCAAGTAAGTCCTTTGATTGAACTTACTCTCTGATCTCCAAATGGGGGACACGCCCTCCTATTTCCTCTGCCTTTCCAGTCCCCCTTTCCCTCTCCCCATAACACGTGCCAGTGTGTTTCACAACAGATGTGGATCACTCTGACAAGCAAGGTCACTACCCGCTCCTCATGGCTTCCCTCACAGCACCTGGTCCACATCTTGTACCAGGGATGTTACAACAAG